CAAAATACAATTACATCTAATGCTCAGAAAATACTTTAGTTCGCATATCCTTTCTTACTAAATCCAGAAATTTTCATCCTTCAGTTAGAAATAGAAAGCATGTGGTAGAAAAATAAAGTACTTTAAATAGTATATTCAACATTTGTACTCTAATGAACAAGATATATAAACTAGGACTTACTTCAAAATCTTTTTTAGATGCATATTAAAGTAAAATAAATGCAGCATTAAAAGCTTAAAAGACTATGTTTCAAAATTTCACCCTAAAATTCACATAAGAATTCCATTCTTTTGTTCATCTGAACAGAACTTTTTCAAAAAAATTTTTTAGTGTTATTTATTTTTGAGAGACACAGTGTGCAAGTAGGGGAGGGGCAGAGAGCAGGAGACATAGAATCTGAGCAGGCTCCAGGCTCTGAGCTGTCAGCACAGAGCTCGACGCAGGGCTTGACACAGGGCTTGAACCCAAGGACCATGAGATCATGACCTGAGCCAATGTCGGATGCTCAACCAAACCACTCAGGCGCCACCTGACAGAACTTTTTACTAGAGTATGCCTTGATAGGATATTGAATATCTGTGTTTTCATACAGAGCTTCTCTAGCTTATTTTGCCACATTTGAATTTTAAACAAGGAAACAAAAAAAGCTTGTTTTGCCATGTGAAATGTTTGCTGAAAAGGTAATGAATTAATCACTAACTGGAATATTCCTGAGTGTTACACTATTAACAATAACATAGAGAGACGGAAAAACATGGCGTTCATGCACATAGGGGAAGTGTAACTAAACCTGCCAAAGAAACAAGAATTCTATATTAAAAATGCCCAGAATTAGATGAAAAATGCTAAGAAGCTGACTTAGATATTGTGAAAAGCAAAGAAAGGAAAATAATTTTATTATATTTATTTTTTTAAGTTTATTTTTACAGAGACAGAGAGACCCTGCATGTAGGTGTGTGGTAGAGGGGCAGCGAGAGAGAGAAAGAGAGAGAGACGAGAGAGAGAGAGAGAGAGAGAGAGAGAGAGAGAGACAGAGATCCCAAGGAAGCTCTGCACTGTTAGTGTGGAGCCCAATGTGGGGCTCAAACTCATGAACCCTGAGATCATGACCTGAGCAGAAATCAAGAGTTGGACGCTCAACTGACTGAGCCACCCAGGTATCCCAAAAGCAAAAATAACTTTTTAAATGATTACAAGGGGAAAAAAAAGGTGAGGACGTAAGGTAGCACAGGATTGGGATGGGAAAAATAATTTAGTCTAAAAAATTCCCATATTCTCTACTAAAGCCAAACATTCTGTTTACAATATTACTTTTCCTCTAAAGGCAAGGACCTAAAATTATGATTCTCAATGCTCTAACAATTCTTTCAAGAACTGCATGTAAGTGAAATAAAGTGAAAGAAAGGCACTAGTGGGGGAAGACTAGCATCAATCAGATCGCAGGATCTTGTAGAAGCTAAAATTAGTGTGTAAAGAAGAGTAAATGAGAACTATAAAAAATGATGTGAGCTTAGCAAATTATTCATTTTTTAATTACCAACAAAGTTTATGGTTTTGATTATACAAGCATTATAATTACTGATAATTGAGCCTCTCAGCTTCTAAATGTGTGGAGACCATGCACATGGATGTGCAGAAATCAAAACCTAAAAAACAAAATGAGTTGAATAAGGTAAAGATGATAATTTAATTTATATCTGAATCATTTTGATGCTTCTTGGTACTGTGAAGTATTTTGGTAGGGAATCTACTCAGTATGATGTATCAGGGATGTCACTGCATTGAAAGTGAATAGGATAATACGTATTGGTGCTGTGATGTGGGGTTAAGTTTTGATTCTGAAAGTTCTGAGGCACTTTAAGAAAATTAGAAACATCCAGGATAGTAGGTGTCAAGGTCAGGAAGATTGATTTTTCTAGATTCCTAAAATCCTATTCATTTATATATTTATCATGCATAAGGAATACTCATTAACAAAATGTCTTCTAGAATAGAAGCACCTTCCTTATGCAGGATACCTCAAGCCTACAGTCACACGAGTTCTCTTATTTGTGAAGATGAGAGGTCATGGCCAAAAATATATACTGTTTGGCTCCAGGAATATGGCCATCCCTACAAATCACAAATAAAGAAGACCAGATATAGCATGTGTGACTTTGTGAAAGATGTAAGACATTAGAAGTATACCATCTGAGACAACGTTAAGGAAAACAATATTTTTTTTTGAGAACAATATTCTAGAACAAAAGTCTAGAGGGAAAGGACAAAAGCAATGGAGTTTTCTGTCTACAGAACGAATGGACAGAAAGGAGAATGGCAATTACAGATGTTCAAGGAAACTTGAAAAATTGAGTTAGGACTTAGGGGCAGTTACATTCAATGATGAAAATAAATATATACTTTATAGATAAACCAAGTCAATTATATCTTATAATCTTTCTAAATTCTTTTGTACCTTGGGATGATCCTGTAAATAGGAATTTCTGTAACCCTGAATATATATTGTATGAAGTACTTTTTATTTTTGAGTCATAATGAGTAGCAGCCATTATGAGAATTACTTATCCATAAAGAAAATATGTTTTCCTTCTAAATCCAACCTCAGGGAAAATATATTATGCCTGAGTCATATAACTGTCATTATTTTTATGAAAAAAATCATATTAAAACAATTAGGGTTATTATATAATCATTACCATTTGGGATAATTTGCATTGGCTAGAAAAACAGGAAACTTGAAATTGTATATTAAGTTTATGGCAAACAGTCTCTAATGAACACTAAATCAGAATACAAATTACAGTTAAACTTAACTGGTTTACCATATAGGGTTTAAACTTTTTGTATCTGTATTTTATCTACCTTTGCTTCTATAGATTCTACTGGAAAGCAGCACGGTAGTGAACACCCTATGGGCTCTTTCTTCTCTTAGATAAAACTGAGTTTTTACTACTTTTCAACTTTGGGTAATTAGCTGAACTTTGTATGACTGATTTTTGTTTTGTTTCTCTCATCTATTATGTAAGACCAATAGCTTCTGCTTATAATTTGGTTTGAGTATTAAAAGGTATTATGCAGGCAAAGTGCATGCTATTAATATTACTTCCCTTCTCACTTCCTATCCTTTCTCCCTGTTAAATGGATTCAAATGATCATGATTTTTAATGTTGTTTCATTAAAAGTGTGAAACATTATACATTTGAGAGGGCTTTTTTTAAAAAAGGTACTTTTGGATGGAAAATAATTGTCAATTAAGTGATTAAGGATATCTCTACATTTTATGACATCAATATAAAAACTTACACTTACATATCTTGAAGTCATTTTTCTGTATCCTCAGTTGTCATGTGCAGCCACAGGAGAAATTTTTTAAAATGCCTAGATTTTGAAAGTGCACATTTAAATATATAAAACTTAATTATTTTATTCATTTTCTAGTTTCAGGTGATGGGGCATGAGATAGGGTGGTTGCAATTTGATATCAAAGAAGTGAAACTCATGAGCTATATGAATTTACAAAAACATGAGCTATATGAATTTACATTGAGAAAACATCATGTGTTCTAATGTGAAATACACTAGAGCCTGACCCAGTGCCTCTTAAACATGTGTTTGCAGGACCCAAAAAGGATCAGGAAAGAGTAGGGATAGGTCAGGACAAGTCTATACCCAATATTCGATTCATAAATTAGTGAAGGCATATTTAAGGTTAAATTGTGAGAAATATGACTTCTCAGTTATCTCAAGCAGAAAAACACTTAAAAGTATCCAGTGATCATGAATTATTTTGGTACCTGGCTTATAACCTTCCTTCTGCACACTTCCTCAGTGACAGAATGAGATTAAAAGGAAATAAAATGGTGTACACTCTGATTTTGCTTCATGACGTCTTGAACATCTAAAACCCATCATTCCCTAGGAGAAGATATACACTAATTGCTGCAGACTCAGAGGCCAACTATACTGCTCCCTCTAGTTACACAACTATTTGAATGTTCTAGGTTGATACCTTCTGCTCCTCTTTGAAAGAGTCTCTTAAAGCAATAGATATTCTAACAAGTTCAAGGGAGTGGAAAGTGTGAATGACTAGAATATTTTACCCTGGAACACTTCTCAATCCTGTATGTTGAGTCTGTGTCAGTGTTTCATGTATGTTCTGATCTAATTTCCAACATTTACTGATGAAAGTTAATATTTGTGCATTTTGTAACTTTGTGTAATGCTACTGCTAGGTATGGCTATATACATATCTTGTGCTTTGAATGTGCAATTTTACTTCCTTTTCTTTTTTAACAATCTAATATACAGTGTTAGGAATGAAAATTTAATGAAGGTGACCAAAGACCAACACAATAAATTTAAATTGGTTTTGACCTGACAAAAACCTCATCAATAAGTGAACAAACCCATTCCATGGAGGAAGGCACTGGAATGTATCCACCAGCTTGTCTCTAGCAGCAGGTGACAAAAAGGACTAAAGCCTTAGGCACAAAACCCCACTATCAATACCTTGCTATTTATTTCTCCCTGGGATATGATATATATATATTAAATTAAATAGGTATCCTCAGAGAATGGGAAGACATTTTTTGGAAATGTTTAATATTGGAAAGCTACTACACAATTTATCGTGTTGCATTTCTTACGATGATTCAGAGTTGAATACAAAAGTACTAATAATATGAAGACAGCTCATTCAAGACACAAGACTGGGCAAAACTAAATTAAAAACAGCCATACATGCCACATTTTGCCTAGATTTATTTATCTATGGAATTGGCACAAGTTATTTTATTTAATAGTTAGAAAATACAAATACCCCTTCATCTGCAAAAAAATAAATGAAATATGAAATTTTCTATAGCTTCCTAAATATGAGCCACATGCTTAACCAGTGCATAAATTTTACAAATCAAATCTCTAACATTAACTATCACAAAAGCTTGGTGTGCAGGTGCGATCTTACAGGAAACACTGATAGCACCTGCCTCTACTGCAATTAAAAAAAAAAAAAACGGCAAATTCGTTTTGACATCTTAATAGTAACATCACTTCAATAATCAAGCACTAAATGTTTTTTATTAATCATACTCTTAACTTTTAGATTTTATTAATGTAAATACACATCATGTTAGCCACAAGGCACACATTCTTCCTTGTTTAGAAGTACTTTATTACTCAAAATGGTATTTATAGTTCTGAGTACACATTAACCATCATATACTTCCGTATTCAAGTGTGATTCCGATTCTCAGATGTTTTAAGATCGTTATGAAAGTGGGAAACCAGTAAATTAACCTGGCCCACAATGCTGCAAGCTTCTTACTATCATATGATAAACTATGCCTACCCTTCACATGTGTATACCAAGTAACATACAGCTTCCAGTTCTAGAAACCTTTAACAGTGTATTAGTCACTTCACTGATAGCAGGAAGTCTGACTGGTAGTAGGTGAGATTTTGAAGAGCCACCATTCCCACAATGTGAGATTGGGCAGAGTCAAAGGCCCATTTGGGTTTCTCTGTTTTGCTTTTATTTTTGGTGGGGGTTGGGGGAGGAAAGAGATGGGAGAACTTGGGAGGCCTCAGTAGAAGCACTTCTCACCCTTAGTCAGCTTTACTCGTATGGGTCACTCAGAACAGTAACTCTGATCAGTGCTACCTAACTGGGAAAAAGAATTTGGCCTATAGGTCAGCCTGTCAACCAGGATTCTGGTAGATTCCATTTTGAAGTCTATGACAGGAAGTCTGGATTGAGTTCTGATTAAAAGAAATCCCTGCTTACTACTTTCTGGATTAGTAACTAAAATCCTTTTAAAATCAGTGAACGTAGCTCAATGCTAAGGATCATTTAGGCTTTTAATGTGATATATATTAAGAATTCTGAAAACTGTTTGAGGTCTCTCTTCTCTAGCACCAAGTACTAGTGGCCATCCTCAAAGAAACCACGTGAATGGATTAATCGAATTTGACGGTGCTCAGAAATAATGGTTTAAAATGGAGGGTTGTTTTTTTTTTTTCAAATTTATTTTATATATGCAATTATTTTTAACAGCAGTTAGTTGCATTTTCAAATTCAATCATCCTCATCTCACCCATGGTTCTTATCTTTAATATCCACACTGTAAAGTATGCAGATCTAATATATTTCTTCGTTCTCTATGGATTTATTTTTAAAGTTAAAAAAAAGTACAGTGATAATATTCTTTCTGAACTTATTTGTCTTCTGTTCTCTAGATACTTGGTGAGTGTGTGTGTGTGTGCACACACACGCATGTGCACATTAGAAGAAAAATTCATTTCCCTTTGATTCTATTTAACATTAAAAAATAAAATTTGGAAAGGGTATTCTTATAGAATTAAACATATTCCTTCTAGCTACTTAAACCAGGGGTTTAGGATTCAGATCTCTATAACCAAGACTGGAAGTCACTGGAAGACTCTAAAATTACTTTAACCATCACAACCTGAGTCACGTATGGAAATAAACCCATTGCATGGATTCTTTATGGGCATAATCTCAAATTTTAACTACACAAACAATTTTTTTAAAAACAAACTTATAAAAATTTGCCATTGAAGAAAATTTCACCTCCATCCTTAATTATGACTCATTTCAAGTAAAAACCTTTCCAATATTTTGAAAAAAAAAATACTCCTAAGAAAGTCATAAACACTGAAATCAGAGATGTGATTCTTATTAAATATTAGTTTCTCTTTCTGAGGGATTATTCTCTGTTCTGGTATTTTTGATGCTAACATCAAGATTTTTAGATTTGTTCAAGGGTTCACATTCTCTGGACTCAGGCGAATGTGTTTTCTTCTTCCTTGCTTCTTCCTGCTTCTTTTCCTTTGCAAGCAATCTGTAGTTTATAGCATTGCCGATAAGTAGCCACACACTTGATAGGAACACAATAGCTCCACAAGCTAGATACATATATTTATATTCTCTGGTTTGATCCACCAATTTACCTAAGAGACAAAAGAACATCTTTTAGGATAGCATAATAAAACAGCCATAAAATCACGTCATTTTCCATGAAGTATATACCTATATCTTATTTAATATTGAATGAGACTTTAACAAAAAAAGTCTAGATTATGACTTCTATATATGCATAGAAAAGGCATGTATAGGCACACACAGTGTTATACTGCCAGTATATTAAATTTATTAAAGATGATTCCCCTCAGTAAAAATGTACAACAAAGTAGGTATATATCTGTTTGGGTGTATATTCATAAATATATGTACATGTGAGGCATGTTTTTTCTATTTATATGTATATAAGTAGATATATTTTATCTATTAATATTCACACACTGAGATTGCTTCATCCTTTCCATGTTTCTTTTCAATAAAGAGGAAAATATTACATTTTTAAAGAAAGGGCCAAAGGCTTTATAAGGTTCTTGACAGGGCATAATATTTACTCAATGCTTTCTCTATGCCCAGCACTAGGCTTAACACTTTTTTTTTTAATGTTTATTTATTTATTTTGGAGAGAGAAAGAAAGAGAGAGCAAGCGAGCACGAGCAGGGAAGGAGGAGAGAGAGGGGACAGAGGATCTGAAGTGGGATCTATACTGATAGCACAGAGCCCAATGCGGGGCTCAACCCCACAAGCCATGAGATCATGACCTGAGCTAAAGTTGGATGCTTAACCGATTGAGCCACCTAGATGCCCCTAGGCTAAACACTTTTAAAAGAGGTAATATTTCATTTAATCTTAAAAAAATTTTTTTAATGTTTATTTCTTTTTGAGAGACAGAGAGAGGCTGGAGGGGGAGTAGAGTGAGGGAAACACAGATTCTGAAGCAGGCTCTGCATTGACAGCAGAGAGCCTGATGTGGGGCTCAAACCCATGAGCCATGAGATCATGACCTGGGCCAAAGTCAGGCACTTAACCAACAGAGCCACCCAGGTGCCCCTCATTTAATCTTTTATTATAAGAGCACGAGGAAGTAATTTGACCATGGTTACATAGCCAGTGAGTGGCAGAATCTGTCTGATTCCCCGATTCTTAACTACTCTGCAAAACAGGTTCACTGAACCTCTTGGTTAAGAGTCATATCTTAACTCTGTGGGCTGGTTACAATTTTTTAGTTTATCTGACTCTAAATTATTAAGGCCAGACTAATCAGGAAGAAAATATTTATTCCATTTGATTATTAAGAATATTTAAAAACTTGGCTGGTATCATATAACTTGAAGGTTTACTGACTTTTAAAATTGGCTTATTTAAGTGTGCCATACACATAAATATAACAAAAACACATAACTTAAATTTCCATTCTAACTTAAGTCAAATATTTCTATTCACACAATAATTGTTATACTTCTAAATAAATAAAAATTAGGTATATGGCCCCCATTATAGTTAATATTACTTTGGGCTACCATATCAACATACTTTCTAAATGTTTGGAGAATATTTTAGCATCATCAAGAAACCAGATATGATTCCCACTAATGAAGCTTCAGCTGTTTTGTGAGTACAGCAGGAAAAGTCTGAGCTAAAAAAAAAAAAAATCATACTCTTCCACTGTTCTACTACTAAGAGTAACAGGCAGAAAAAAAAAGCAGCAGCAATAGCAACTGTGTGAGAAGTAAATACAATATTACTCTTTCATTCAAAAGTATTTACTGAATGCCTCTGTGTGCCAGACATTATTCTATCAGTGATCATAAGGCTATAGAAAAGAAGCCAGTCTAAAAGTCTAGGAGAATCTGTGGTAGCAGAAGACAGATACAATATGAAAACAATGGATTTATTGCAGCTATGGTCTGAGAGCTTCAACAAGGAGCCCCAAATTAATTATTGTCACTACTGGTGCAATGGTTTGGCAATATTAACACAATAAGCACTCAAGAACACTGAAACTGATGTAAATATTCTTAATACAGGTGCTCAGCAAAGGTAGAAACAGTCAAATCAGATTCCTTCATATTCATCCTTACAGTCCATGTACTAAATCTGTTGACCTGACTTAATTTTTTTTTTTTTTAATTCCCACCATGGCTGGTGAAATGCAATTTTCTCTGTTAATACTAAGAATTCTGCTGCTCATCAATAGGCTTTTAAAACCCATTTGGTAAAACTGATTCTGTAGGAAAAGATTGTCAATTGTGTTGGTCTTATGCAACAAAATCAACTGGCTGATAAATAAGACTAGCTTTCCTTCTTTTTGAAACTGTTTTGATGTCACAGTTAAAAGATATACCACCCAAAACATCTGTGCTAGACAGGAGAGGAAAGCCCTCCCTAGCAGACAGAAGAATTCAACCACTGCACCACTCTCATTCCTGACCAAGCGGAAAAGCAAGGCAAAAGGTCAATGATACCTAAAGACCAACAAATTAAATACAAATTTTCCCAATTCAAAATGATTCCTTGATATATGGAATTGCCGAATCACTATATTGTGTACCTGAAACCAACATAATACTGTATGTAAATTATACTGGAATTTAAAAAAATTATACCTAAATGTCATATAGGAAACAGTTTAAAAGCTGACTTATATACATGAAAAACTTTACACTTAGCCTGGCAGTTACAGTGACCCCTGGGGTCCAGACAGGAATCTAAGTGAATACCTAAGTCTAGTATTAACCAAAGCAATGTATAATGGTTACTGGAGAAGACTGGCTCCCATGACATTCATAACATGAAAGTCTAAAACTAAACAAAGTCTTAACTTCAAAAATGCACATATACATGTGTCTTAGTCTCCTTACTCTGAATTTTAGCACAGATACTTTCTTTCTTTAAATGTTTTAAATATTTATTTATTTTGGGGGGAGGGACAGAGAGAGACAGGGACACAAAATATGAAGCAGGCTCCAGGCTCTGAGCTGTCAGCACAGAGCCCGATACGGGACTTGAACTCACTAACTGTGAGATCATGATCTGAACTGAAGTCAGATGCTTAACCGACTGAGTGACCCAGGTGCCCCTAGCAGACACTTTCATAGGCATGACTGAAAATATTTCAGATCTAAAAATCTAAAAGTAATCATTATAATTTATAAATGTGAAATGTAAATATCTGATGAAAATGTATTTCTTTTCCTTCCTGTATGTATATATATATATATATATATACACACATATATGTATATATGTATTCATTTTTCAGTCAGCAATATTATAAAAGTATGCTATCTTTAGGCATGTAATATATTAATAAAACCAATGTACTCCAATAAGAAAATAGATCCTTACCTTTTGATAGCATTATTTAAATTTTTGACTCATTTTAATATAGACAGAAATGTGTTCATCAATGATAAATAAAAAAGTAGAATTTTATTATTATGATACATTTTTATAAGCACAAAACAACAGATAATGGGTAAAAACCTGAAGATTATGTTATTAGTTATCAGTCTAAGTTAAATTCTTAAGTTCATAGGTCCAGGCTCTGAAGCAAATTTAGGTCTAAAAGCAACTATTTATGCAATTTAAAAATACATATATAATAAAACCTAACATTAACATACCCACAGCCTTGTAGGCTATTCATATTTATTGCTATAAGCCACATAACATCATACATTACAGAGAAGGTCCTGGCTAGCGGATATTCCTTTTATGCTTTCGGCTCCTCCGGATGAGAATGATTCTTACCAGCAAGAGGAGGGCCGAGAAGGACGGGGCCACACTCCACCACGGTGACGAGTCCCACAGCACTGGAAAACCTCTGAGGGCCGACCAGGTCCATGAGAGTTTCAAAGAGGACGCTGCTAACACTCCCAAATCCGAGACCAAAAAATACAGCGTAGAACACCAGGCTTGTGTAGTCCTCTGCCAATGGACACAGGAGATGACACACTCCAGTGAACATGACCGCAAAACTGAAGAAGTACTGGATTCGGGGTCGGATAAATTTGGAGTTTGCAATGATTCCCCCAGCAGGTCTAGCAAACATATCAACAAAAGCCATAATCGACAGCAAGAAAGCTGCAGAATACTCATCAATTCCCTTGTCCTTAGCATAGGGAGCCAAGAATATAATGGGGGCAAAAAAACCTAGAAACATAATGACATTTCCAGATAAGTATATCAGAAATCCTCTATGCTTAAAAAGGGAGAAATCTAAATACTTATTAATTGTTCCCAGTCTTGATTTCTTCTTATGGCCTTTCTTCACCTCCGGGTCATTCTCTCTTACGCCAATCTTATTTTTAGACTTCTTCCTAGCTTTTCTGGGCTCAACAGGTCTCATGAGTGATCCAGCCACACAGGCGTTTAACAATACGCCTCCCAAAATCAAAAAGCTTCCTTTCCAGCCAAAAGTATTAAAAAGGAACTGATTGAAAGGAGCTAACGTGCTTAAGAAAACAGGACTTCCTGCCATGGCGAGGCCATTAGCCATGGGTCGTTTCTTGTAGAAGTATTTGCCAACGATTGTTAGGGCAGGCTGCAGGTTGAATGCTAAACCTAAACCTATAAGGAAAGAAAAAAAGGAAGAAAAACACAAACACGTTATGTCACTCACAAAAGAAATTGCTGCTTAAAATCACTACATTCAAGTGGGTAACGCAGGACTCAAAGTGCAACAGCAGGTGGTAATTTTTGACGATTGTTATTATCATGGAATTACACATCAACAAAGAGCTTCTCATAACTGGACACTTGATATGTATGACAGCTTCATATTCCTTTCATGTAAAAGCACAAAAAATAAAACCAAGAACTTCTCCTGATGTTTCCATAATCATAAAATAGGTAGAAATTGGGACAGTATTATTAGTTCTTACTTATGAGCCTGAGTACTACCTACTGTGCTAACAGGTACTTTATTAGTTCTTACTTAAAATCACTTAATTCCACAGATTAATCCTCTCTCTCCATTTACATAAAAAATATTTTTATATGCATTATATTTATATACACATATATAAAATAGATTGCTTCCTTGTGGAAAAGAGTGTATATTAGTGTGAACACATTTGTTACTTTTTATAAGTATTTTTTTAATATTTTATTTTGAGAGAGACCGAGAAAGTGCAAGCTTGGGAGGAGCAGAGAGGGAGGGAGAGAGTGAGAACCACAAGCAGGCTCCACACTGTCAGCATGAAGCCTGATGCGGGGCTCGAACTCCCAAACTGTGAGATCATGACCTGAGTGGAAGTCAGATGCTTAACTGACTGGGCCACCCAGGCGCCCCAGATGTGAACACTTTTTTAGAGTTGAACAGAATGAACAGGTTCATAAGGTTGTTGTTTCTGAAACTCTTAGATGACTCCAGAGATATTTTTTTTCCACAACTGTGCAAATAATAAAAAAAGAGTAACAAATTAATGCCATTAATATCATGCTCTACATCTTTCACATTCCACATTTCATGAATATAAATGCACATGTGTGTTGAGTTAAAAAATAAAGTTTTTGCTTTCAACATTTTATTTCAGGGTTTAAAACTGACTGTTTATATGAGTCAAAGATTCCTACTGTCTACTTTGGTAGTATTGAGTATCACCTTTGAGAGACGAATTGTTTCTTACAGCTTGCCAAGGTGTGATTTAGCAATAGTAATGATTAACAAAGCACATAAAAATGATTTAGATAAGGCACCTCTCCTTCTCCCTAGACTAGGCATTATTTTGTATTAGTTTAGGGGCTACAGAAGTAAGAATTTACAGTTACCAATTTATGTAAATTGAGAGAATACTGCAAAGTGGTTAAGTATTGAGATTCTGGGACATTCAATTCTCAGTGAAAATACTTACTACAAACCTTGAATACAAATATCTCCTATGAGTAGGCGGGTCCTTAAAAACTGACACAAAGGAACCAAGAATATGCTTTGGAGAGTAACAGGGCAATATGCTCTCTGATTCTACCACAGCCATACCAGTGAGATATGCGGAATAAGCGTAATTTACAAAGGAGAAAGCTGGCAACCTGTGGTCAACAGCTTATAGGCGGAAGAATCCAAAAAAAACCCCAGCAATTTTATTTCGAAGTTCAAATTTCTTTACCTATTGCCAGCCCCCTCACCCCCCAGCAACCCCTGGCCCCATTCTGTCACCCCATTTTGCCTTCAGATGTTAATCCAGTTTCTCCTTAGGAGAGGGTGGCCATCTATTTTCTATTCTGTCATGGTAAAACGAAATTTGAAATCCAAAGAACTGAATCTTTGGATTCAGACTACTTACCTATATGCATTATTAGGCAAGACACTTAGACTTCCTGAGTTCCAATCCCCTCAACAATAACAAAAGAGGGTTTTGCCAAAGGCAAGTAAGTTCTATAACATCTTAAAAGGTCATACTAAGACGTTATGATGGTAATTATCTGCTACTATTTATTTAAGTTTTCAAAATTTTTTTTTTATGTTTTATTTATTTCTAGGAGAGAGAGAGAGACAGAGATAGCATGAGCAGGGGAGGGTCAGAGAGAGAGGGAGTCACAGACTGAAACAGGCTCCAGGCTCCGAGCTGGCAGTCAGCACAGAGCCCCACCCAGGGCTCGAACCCACGAACCGTGAGATCATGACCTAAGCAAAAGTCGGACGCTTAACCAACTAAGCCACCCAGGCACCCCTGCTACTATTTATTTAAAAGTAATGAAATTCTGGGCACTCTGAAAGGTACTATGTATTCATTTTTTACATGAATTTCCCAACGACTCCAAAAGGAAAGAGCTATCATTTTCAGTATTTTAAAGACAAAGAGATAGAAAGAGGCTAATTTACTCATGATCAGCTAATAGGTGCTAAGTCAGGATTAAAACTAGACTGTCATGGCAGGGGGTCAGGGAAGAGGGAAAATGGATGATAGGCATTGAGAAGGACACTTGTTGGGATGAGCACTAGTGTTTATGTAAGCCAATTTGACAATAAATTATATTCATCTAAAAAAAAAAAACTAGACTGTACACCAAAAAGTATTTGCTGATAATGCCTTAAGATAAATCTCTCATAGGTGCATGTAAGGGTTGACTCTAGAAGCACCAAAGCCTTCAAGACTCAAAATAAATGGAATTGAACTTAGAATAACATACAATGCTGTTGAAATGTGTGGTACAGTAATATCAAAATCATTGTTTCCATAATAGATCTATTTGTGGGCCCAACCTGACTTTTGTGGTCAAATGCAATATACAGTATTTCTGCACAAAGGAAAGGGCATTCCCTGCACTATGACAATTCTTATATAGAAGATTTTCATTTACAACGTCAAGAAGCGTTTTATCACATCAAAAAGGAAGAGAGTTGTGGATAGGCTGTAAAGAGAAAGATTTTAACATCACTCTTACTATAGGCTTTAATACATCTTATTTTTGTTTCATCAAACGATATACGAGTGCAAGGTTAGAATGATCTAAAATTACTACAAAAAAGAGAAATATACTTACTATTTTTCTGTGAGCATAAGGAAAAGATTCAGTTTCTTTATATATGGAAATCTAATTTTCCTTAAAACTCTGCATGTAGACTTGCTTAATGCGATTTATTGTTGAAGCTAATAAAAGTAGTGTTTTCCAAATGTACATACTTAGGTCGGTTTAGGTCAACAAACATTATGCATGAGGAACAACTATAATCGAGTGACAGTATAAAATTTAAAAATATTACCGGCAGATGTGCCTTACAGAGCTTTTAAACAATTAGAACCTTTTGTTAGGAAAAGAAGGGACCCCAATACAGAGCCCTACCACTAACCAGAACACAAATAAAAATAATTCTACTGTTAGAGCTAAATCGGTGCATGCAAAAGTATTTTGGCATCATTTTTAACCTATGAGTCATAAGTTAGATACTCTAAATAGTAGTAAGTAATGAAAACTAACTTTAAAAAAAATGAAGCTATGTATGTGCCAGAAAGTTTGTGTCCATAATACCCCATCTTAACTGGCTGATAAGTAAAGGGTGAAACGGTAAAATTAAATCAAAACTTTTCTTTTTGACATTGATATCATAGCACCTAATGTGTCTGATAACTTGTTTCTTCCATAAGAAATAAGTTTGATTGGCCATTCCACTCAAGTACTTCATTGTACTAGATGGAAATACTTTAAGATAGCATCTGATATAAAACAAAAACTCAAGTAAAACAATATAAATGCTCTGTTGTTTAAGTTTCTTCTTGAGCTTTGCAAATAATGGAAATGTTAAGAAGAAAAGAAGCAGAAAACAAGCTTGACTTACCAGTAATGAATCCCACAGTGAGGTAGAGCTCTATTACGCTGGTACTAAAAGAGGCCAAGACCATTCCCAAACAGCATAATAAACCTCCTACCATCACTACCGGTCGGCTATCATATCTATTCACCAGAACACTAGATATGGGACCTGAGATAGAGAGGAAATTAAGAAATATTCAGTTGCTGGGTCATTTATAGTTTCTTTTAACATTTGTTGAAAGCACATTTTAATGATCAAAAACATTAGTTCACATAGAATATAATGAAAACTTTTCAATACTTCCTAATCAGGTTGACTGAAAATAAGAAAGTCAAGAAAAATCTTTAGCCATATATATGACAGGACATAAAATAATAAATTATAAGTGTTTAACATAGATTATGATCATAATCATTCAACTTTTGATGGAAAAGTTTTTCAACAGAACATATCCAAATATTTAATAAATGCAGGAAAATTTATATAATAATCTAGAGATTATAGAAATGACTTATCTGTTATAATTTTATATTCTAGAATAATATATGTGCACACACACATATATCCTCTTAATTAGAGCTCAAAATTGTTTTTTTACTATACCACAATATGTTTTTTTTAATACCATATTTCTTTCATTCTAAGATACCAATTGTTTTTATATCTTACTATGTTAGAAATGAAGATGTCTCACACCAGAGGGCTCTTAACAATCCCTGTTTAACAGGTGGTGGTCATAGGTAGCAGTGTAGCTATCACAGCCTATGCATGCTTGAATTTGGTTATTTCTGTGGCTTGGTTGGACAATGGCAATTCTTCAGATTTCATATATTTCATATAATTGAAATATTTCACATTTCCTCATATTTCAATCAAACTATTTAAGGACCACTTAAAGAAGGAATATGAATATGAATCCTGATTATTGTCTGAAAAATCTTCTGTTGACACATTCTGATAATGTCAAAAGAGTACCAACATCAAAACCCACCGAATGGGTACAGCAGCTTAGATGAAATTACCAGAGAAAATGGCTGATCTCTCTAGTAAGATATGCTGCCTTACTGGAAAAGAGAACAATCTTATGTGTAAAACACAAACACTGAGAATGCTGACTCAAAACTAATTTAGGAGAGCCAGAAACTGAATGGGAAGAAGTTTTAGGAATGCCTTACTCAGTTTATTTAATGTACACGTCCTAATGCTTGTGTGTGTGTGTGTGTGTGTGTGTGTATATATATACATATATATATATATATATACTGTGCAAGAGTGATTAAAAGGATTAAAATCACCTATGTTTAAGCTTAGAAAAGTTCTTTGGGTATTTATAAAATAAAAGCTCTAAGTATTAATAAAGTGTTGAGTTTTATTTTAATCACAGCAATTTTTTGGTGGTATATCATAAAATAATGGTACAACTTAACAGTTGAGGTCTTCTTAAATTCTGTAAAAGTTCATACTATTTTATGAGACCCGTCAACATATAAATGGTTTGACATTATTTCTTAACTAAAAATTATATTTTTATCTAAAACAACGGTCATTGCTTTGAGGAAGAAATATTACATTAGGTCAGAATTCTCAGTCCAATATTTAGCCTAGAAAAAAAATTAATAATTTTTAGTTAATACTATAACTTAAAAATTTGCTAAGTGTTATTGCACTGCATTTGAGAATTTTTTCGTGGATAGTATTTGAAATACATTGAGATTCGTTTGTCAATAAGCTTTATTCTTTCATACAACTATAGTTATTATTTTTATTCCTTAACTGTAAGTTTGAAATAAAAACTTCATAGCCTAATATGACTCTACAACATCTTTTGAAATATCTGTAAAAACACATTATTGTACAAAAAGAACTCAAAAATAGAATATCACATTTTGCATTTAATACCAAACAAAACAAAACTAAAAAGGGTCATATGAAAGACAGCTCTATACAAACAACTGAATTGGGGGAGAATTCAATGAAAATTGTACAAGGTAATAAGAAAAGAATAGATTTCTACCCCTAATATGGTAAAAACTCATATTATATGGTTTAGGAAATGAGCATTTTCATTAAAAAGCACATAGCTAAATTCAGATAGCTTTTGTGAGAAATAAATTGATTAGCTTTAATTATGTATTGAACCTAAGTGCATATTCCTTTTCTTAAAATTACTTAACCAATTCACTTCACTTCAATTCAATTTAACTCAAATAAGTTCAATGCAGTATTTCTGGAGCTTCTAGTAAAAAACCAGCTGCCATACACCAAATAAAAAATAATAAACACACGGCTATAAACATCAATGACTTATAGTCCAGAGGTAGAAATTATCCACAAGTTATTTTAAGAACTGTGATGGATGCTTTGATTAAATACCAGACTATTCAAAGGCATTTATCAATTACTTGGACTATAAACAATTTTTCTCAGTATCACTGAAATTATATATACTATTTTCTATATGATGCCTGGGTAACTAACACATGGGCTAATTACATTTTATAAATGTATCTGCCTAAATGGTGTAAATTTAGATTTGAACATAGGCTATGAATCACAACTTAATTTGCAATGCATGGTAAATAATTATATCTATAGTTTGGGATAACCACATTAAGGATTTTTTCCCTCACTACTATGATTGATTAAGAGTAGCCAATAAAGAAAACATTTAGAGGTGCTGATATTTTTTTTTGAAGGAGCTTTGATAATTTCTACTATGGCATCAGTCAAGATGGAATGAGAGTTCTGACTTTAATAAATGATTTTACTTTAAATGATATACTTTAGTTAAGTGATAATCCTTAAGATAATCCATAAGGGATGTATTTACATAATTCATTTATAATCTTTTTCTAGCAAAAAGAAATATATAAAAATATATATGTAAAGGATATACTTTTTAATTTGATTTATTTAGAAATAAAGCTCTTTACCTCTTCATATTAAATGCTTATAAAATGTCATAAAATATTTCTATTTGTAATAGTTGTGGATCTAATTAAAATTATGATAAGGACAAACTATACTTATTTTGTAAAGAATCTTTAAATGCTTACTATTGGCTTGAGGAGGCATCTAAAATTAAATGTAAAACACAACGCCACCCAATACCTCTTTCTCCAACCTACAAGAAGCTTGGTTTATTATATTAAAAAGAAAGATAAAGTTTTAAGAAAGTAAGTAAATTCTATCACATGTGATTTTTGTTAAACATGCACTAGCCTTGCAGGTATCCTTTGTTAATGAATCTCAGGCTTAATTATATTCTGAGCCCATTTATTCATTTATCTATTAATTCAATCAGTGTGGAAGTTTTTACTCAGCATATGTTTTTCAAGTAATCATGATGTTTAATCATTAGTTATGTCAAAAACATTTTCAACCTGCTGAGAGTTGTATCTGAGACCATACCTAAGGAGAGGAAAGGTATTATTCATCCAAATGTTGTGTTTATTCGTCAAGCAGTTAAAAAAAAAAAAGATGTGCAAGAATAATATTGTCTTATTTCCAAAACACCCAAGAAAAAATCAGACTGTATCAAAACCAGACTGATCTGCTCACTAATTTCTTCTGATCCAGCTTTCCAAACGAACTCAGAATTTTTAGAGTCAACTATAATTTATAGTCACTTTCATGGTAGCTGTGATGCCATAAAGGAAGACTTTCTCAGAGAGCAGTATAAATATCACAATGTTGTCACCCATATTTCACCTACTTCTTTGTTTCTGAAAGCTACTTCTGTCTTTTAATGGCTGTGGCTCCATAACACTTAGCACAACAATACTTACTCTGGCAAGGAAGCTTTTGTGGCTTCTTACAAATTACAGAATGTTTGCCCATTCTTAGAATTCCTGCTGCACTTATAGTTGGCCACCCCTCCCCCCACCCCCACAGGTACCACAATACTTATTTTCTCTATTTCATTTGATTGAGTCTTGTTCATACATTCTATCTGAAGCTCTGGGATGGTAGTCACCACATATACTATTATTAATCATCAACACTTACTGAGTTATTACTTTTTGCAGGAATTGTGTTAAGAATTTTACATGCGTTATTGCATATAATGTCATGGCAACTGATAATTATAGCAATGTAACAGTTGATCAAACAGAGATATGCAAAGTGTTTAGATAACTTGTTTAGGTCCCATCAATGTAAGTGGTAGAATGTGGATAGGAGCCCCAGGTCATCTGATTATAAAACTTACACCTTTTACTACCACACAGAAAAGAATAAACATATCATGTGTGAGACTGCCATCCTTAGAAAGGCCTGCCTGCACAGCTGGCTCTCAGCTGGAACATGGGAACTTGGATTTCAGACGTGTTCCCACCATTCTCTAACTGGTAAGGTGGCTCACTGTGCTTAAACTGTTTCACAATGTGGTTTATGCTGAACATTTGCTTTCCTACCCAGGGTGTAAACCTTTAGGACATGCACGACACAGAATGCCTATGTGACCAGCAACCCAAGAGAAACCAGAAGCACCAAGTCTCCAGTGAGCTTCTCAGTAGACAATGCTTCACTTGTGTCACAACTAGTTGCTGGGTTAAGCCCATCCTTTGCAATTCCATTGGGAGAGCATTCTTGGAAGTTTGCACCTGGTTTCTCCTGTGCTTTGACCCATGTGATTTTGCCATTCCTGATTTTGATTTGCATCCTTTCATTGTAACGGATGATAGCCATGAAAAGACATTGTTGAATCCTGTGAATTTTTCTAGGGAATCATCATACCTGAAAGTGGTCTTGGGGATTCTGAATATAACTACTACAGTATATCTCTTTTAAATTTGAGTTTTGCATATAAGTTAAAACAATTGATTTTCTTTGTTAAATATTTTTAAAAATGTATGAACTACCTATACATGAACTGGTCTATTCTTTTGTATATTATTATTCTGTTCTGTAAACATGAACTCATATTGCTTGCTTTTATTTCTTTTGTATACGGCATGAGTACATGATAAATGCTGTGAGAAAATGTGGAGAATATGTTATGTAATGAACATTTCATAAAATATATTTGATCAATCTAAAACCATGAATTGGAATTGACTATCAATTTGAGCTATATAAAAATTTTATGCATAGCATAAACATGAACAGAAGAAATGATAAACTGCTATAATTTATTTTTCATTTGCTTTATTTCAAATTTGTATATG